GAGGCTGGCAGGCCTCCTGAGCCCCCAGCAAGTCTTCACTCTTTTTGGGCTCTCTGGCATTTTCCTCGTGGCCTTGTTCTCTGCATCTCTCGTGGTTCTGCTTCTCTGCTCTCGTGTTTGATCTTCTGGCGTCCCCATGATGCCGCACTTATAAGTCCATTTGTAGCCCAGGTGAATCCCATCTGCATATGCCCACACCCTACTCCAGGTGCCCGCCATCAGGCATGCATTAGGGACCACAGGGTTCCGTCATCCATCCTAACGGCGGGAGGGCAGAAAAGCCTGATACTTTTTACCTTACCCTACAGATCCCTACTTGATCTCTCAGCCTCAGTTTCTCTCCCTGCAGAACAAGGCTACCTTAGGAATAAAACACCAGCACCCTAATGGGAGGATTCAGTAAGTCGTACCTGTGGAGTGCTCAGTATGCAGCTAGGCACATCCTAGGAACTAGATCAGGGGCTGCTTAGATCAATGTTGCAGGGCAGGGAGAGGGGCACTCCACACCCCACACACCTGCCTGCTCTAAATATGTTCTGCCATCCGCTGCATCAACACAAAACATATGAGGCTTTAATGAAAATGAACTTTAATACAATTAGTAAACAGTACAGGTAAGGCAAAGAATATAGTTTCTAAATCAAGCACCCAAAGTTACCCGTCCCCTTGTGGGTAAAAGTCCACCCAGGCAGGATTGGCCCAGAGCAAGGCCCCAAAGTCTGTAACAAGTCTAAAGCATCTTCCAGTGGGGACCCACAGAAAAGGATCAGCAACAACCAGACAAGTCTGGAAGGAAAAGAGCAAAATCAAAATCAAGACAAAAACCACCATTGTCACCTCCCCACGGGTCTCTCACCCACATCTGTGTCACCCAGTCCATGACCAAAAGGCAAGCGCAGTTTCTTCAAGTGTCTCTCAGCAACATGTGCCTCCTCCAGGTCTCCTTCTGGCTCCATCCTGCTTCCTTCCTTCTTTGTCTCCTCTGCAGCTTCTTCTCTCCCTGCTCAGATCCACCCTCCTTTTGGGTGGGGCAGGAGACCTGGAACCTCCCCCTTTCCTGGGGACCACCCTGTTACAACAGCAGCCCTGGTGGTTTACAGCAACAGTAGCCAGTTTTATAAAGTCCTCCTAAGTATCAGGTTAGCTGGGGTAGGAGTAGGTAAGGCAGAAGCTGAGTGTTTCATACTCACCAGGGGATTTTAAGCGGGCTTGCGGCAAGGAAAATTCTAGCCCTGGTTCTGCCACTTCTATCGACTCTTGCTCTGGGCCTCCAGTCCCAGCTACTGGTCCGGTCAGAGCATTTGGTGAGCAAATCCTGGCTGACTTTCTATTGAAAGCAGTTCTCTGCTGCCCCCTGCTGGACACAGAGCACTCACACCTTCTGGCGGCAAAATTTCTGCCAAGTGCAGAGACCTTACCTGCACCCCACGCAGTGCTTAGCACCTACGATGACGTGAGTCCTGCAGTGTGTACACTTGGGAAGCACTTTCATAAACACCCTTCATTTAGTTCTTATCTCAGCCATGTCAAGTGATTTATTACCTTCATTTGGAGGTCTGGGTGAGGAAGGTGAGGTCAAAGAGGGAAAGGATGGCCCTACGGTCACGCAGAAAGTCACAAAGCCTGGGACTCAAGTGCATGGAGGGAGAGAAAAGTCACCCTGATGTTCCCTTCCACCTGATGTCCTTGATGTCCTGGCTGGCCCAATCACCAGGTCCCAATGCCCCCACCTCTTCTTTCTTCCTGGACAACCTCCTGGGGAATGCCTCCCACTTCTTCTGCCTCCTCATTGATCTCTCCCCATCACAGATCTGGCCCAATTTGTGAAAGTCCCCATGTGCCATCTGTACCCCCAGATAAGCTGCCCCTCGGCCTGGCATCTCCTTCTGGGCCTCAGCCACCCCTCCTACCCCACTTCCCCCAGACTCCAGACCTATGGTTTCTGTTTTGTTTTGCCTACCAAACACACTTCTCACTCTTATGCCATCATTGCCCTCTTAGCCTTTGCAGTTGCCCTTCCTCTGTCTGGAACGTTCTGTGTTCTCCCTACGTACGCCCACTGGAGAACTCCCCTTTCCCATCACCGTGGTGTCATCTCTCTTGTCATCTTCTCCTCACTTCCCAGCACCTGGATGAGGAAAGAGCCCTGACATATACCCAGCAGCATGTACGGCGTGTGGGTGGGGTGAAAGAGTAAGTGAACAAATGAATAAATAATGGGGTCAGGCAGATCTGGCCCCCAGCTCAGTCTGGGTGCCCTTGAACAAGGCCCATGGGCTCCCTGAACCCCAGTATGTCTATCAGGCCTGTGCTCCCTATTGCACATTTGAGGTCCCTGCAAGGGTAGACCCTCCGCCCCCTTCACATGGTTCCAGAGCCTGCCCAGTGGCTGTGGACTCTTGGATATGTGGGTCCCTTAAGAGACAAGGACCCCAGAGCCTCCTTCTTCCCACCTGATGGCCAGAGGGAGAAGAAGGGTCAACACCCCCAGACCACGGCTGGCCTTGCCGCCTTGTGGCCCGGGGTTAATTTTTAAATAGTTGTTCAAAGTCCAGGTGGGCCTTGGCAGTTTGCTCTCCCTGTTTGCTGTGGTTAATAATCTCAGGAGAGCAAACATCCCTGGAGGCAGAAGAGATCAACATCCTGGTCCACCCAGCCACTCCCCTCCTCCAGGAGAGGCTTTGAGGCTAGATGAGCCATCAGGCTTGGAGGCCCTTTCATCCCCTGGCATCCCAGGGAGCCAATGGTTTCCCAGGCCTGAGCCTATGGATTCACTGTGGAGGTCACTGAGCCACTGGGGTACACTAGAGACACATGATAGGATGCCCTGTGCCTATTAATGACTCACTGTTACTTATTCTTACGCCAGGCTGGGTTCTCCAAAGACAGACACGCTGAGCCTACGACACAGGGATAGCGGTGGGCAGGTCACGGAGCACTTCACATACATTGCCTCACTTGACCTCTAGATAAACAGGCACCGTTATCTTGTGTTTACAGAAGAGGAAAATGGACTTCAGAGAAGGAAAGTCATCTCCAAAGTCACGTAATTCAAGTCAGAGCTTCTGGGTTCCAGTTCTCTGCACTCCTTAATTCAAACTGCCCCCTTACTACCACCACAGAACAAAGCATGAAACAAGGATTTCTGAAAAAGAGAGAAAAGATAATTGTGGCAGAAAGCTAAACTGAGATGGTTGCTGTGATTAAATTTGGAGCATGACTGAGCTTCCTGGCAGCCAGAGCAAAAAGTCAATGTCATTGATGGCCAGGCTGCCAGGGAAGGAACAAAGGAAACACATATAGCATAGACACATGTTCCTGATGTTGGTGAAAAGGGAATGCACACTCTTTGTTAGTGCCACTTCTTCAGGGGGAGTTCCTGGTCACTACTATCTGAAGGGGTCTTTCTGAGCTATAGCAGAGAGACTGCTGTGTACATGGAATGCTCCAGTCTCAAAGCAGGGAGTAAGGAAAGACAGCAGTTCTCACCACTGGACAAGAGAACTCCATAGAGAGCCTACAGTAAACTGGCAAGCATTTCAACTTTGGAGACAAACAGACCAGGGTTTTTAAAAATTCTCATTAAAAATTTTTAATTTAATGAATACTACATAGTTTTCTAAGGCTGCCATTGACAAACTGTCATAAACTGGGTAGCTTAAAACAATAGAAATTTATTCTCTTACAGCTGGGGAGACCAACTTATCAGGCCCACATTCCTCCTGAAGGGTCTAGAGAAGAATCCTTCCTCGCCACCCTCTCAAGGCAGTCCTCCTTGTCCCGGAATTTACCTGTATCCTCCTGCCTCTGCCGAGGTTTTATACGGCTGTCTTCCCCATGTCTTTGCATCTGACCCTCTCCTTTCTCTTATAAAGCTACCAGTCTTTGGATTTAGGGCCTCCTGTATGATCTCATCTTGACAAATGACTTCTGCAAATAAGGTCACTTTCTGAGGTTCTGGGTGCACCCAAATTTGGGAGGCACTCTTCAACCTGCTACAAACACATTCAGTTTTCTTCCCACAAGCTAGATACTGTCCTAGGGCTTCACAAGAGTTAATCCTTTGATCCCTCACCGCCATGAAGAAACCAGGAACTACAACCCCATTCACAGATGAGGAAACAGAGGCAATGAGTGGTGAAGTCACTGGCCTGAGGCCATGCTACCAGCGAGCAGCACAGAAGTTGTCTCTGACTCCTGAGCCCATGCTCTCAACCATCACCAAAGGCTCCCTTTCCCAGGTACCCGCTCCCCAGCCGAGGATCTTTACTTTTTAGAGACTCAAACGCCTGTCTGGAGGCTACTCCATGAGGCTGTGGGGATTGAGCTCAGTTCAGCTGATGTTCAGTGAACGGACATGTTGCTGCTGCCACCACCACTGCCATCCTCTGTTATTATTTACAAGGGCTGGGAGGAACCCCGGGGACAGGATGCCTGGGCTCCAGTCTTGCCTCACTTGACCTCCTCTAGGGACTGTTATCTTCTGCTTACAGAGGCTGGAACTGCACTTCGGAGAGAGAAAGTGACCCCCAACGCTTCTGTGTTCGCTGGGAAGTCACTGTCTCTCCGTGGGCCTCAGTTTTCTGTGAGGGGTCAAATCAGGCTCGTCCTGCTGGCTCACAGGAGCGGATCTGGGTGGAATGTTCCAGAGGGAAAGGGCAGGGGCTGTCCCTCTGTCCTAACCTCACGTGCCCTGCTGTGACCTGGGAGTCTCTGAGGAGGATTTTCTGGGGGCTGAACTTCTGGGCCCTGGGTCAATGTCTCCTCTGAAACAGGCCGCCCCCTGTCCCCCAGAACCACTGACCCAGCCAGAGCACTACCTGGGATTGATTTGACCCAGCCTTGGAGCCCTGATTGGCTGGGCTGAGCAGGACAAACACCAAGGTCGTGTGAAAGGTACGGCCCTGGCCCCGGTCCGGCCTCAGTTCGCAGCTGTGGCAGGCAGGGAGGTGGTGGCTCCTCCGTCCCCGCACTGAGCCTGTGAGTGACACGCGACAGCTATGCAGAGTCTCAGGGCCCTGCTTCTACTGCTGACCGCCTGCCTGGCAGTTAGTGCTGGCCCCGTGCCCACGTCGCCCGACGACATCCAAGTGCAGGAGAATTTCGACGTCTCCAGGGTAAGGCTGGATTGCTAGCAGTCCAAGGGAACATGTCCATGCAGCCGGGGGCAAATCCTGCCTGCCTGCCCAGGTGCTTGTCTCCCCATCCGGGCCTCTGGTGCTTGGTCCCGGAGGGACCATCTGCTCAGAGTTCGGCCTGGGATTCATTGAAACTACACCCCTCTGCATTGCCGTTCTGTGGAGGAGATCGTTCTTTGATGGGAACACACCCTTGAGGAGGCTTGGGCCTCACGGCAGCCCACACCCCCTCACACAGAGCCTGGCTTTCATGAATCTTTCTGCTCATCCCCCGGCCCCCCACTACTCGCTGCCCCCCCAACATCTCACTATCTTGCGTCCTCTGCCCTCCCAGATGTGGAGCGGACAGAGATTAGGTCTGTGAGATTATGGGGAGAAGAGGAGCACAGAGATGGGGACTGGTGGGATGAAGAGGCCGGCGCAGGTTCTCTGTTCTGCCAGGGGGAGACCCAGGACTACTTTCTGGTCCCAGTTCTGCCCCAAATTACTGGGTGACCTTGAACAGGACCTTGCCCTCCTGGGCTCCAGTCTCTATGTGCGTGTGAGGAGCTCCCTTCTAGCTGTGGGATCCTATAGGCTCTGTTTTCTTTGGGGGACAAGGAAGCATCATGGGCAGAGAGGCAATGAGGAGCAGGGCCCTTGGGGGCTGGGATGGCAAAGGGGCGGAGGCTCACTTGCTCGCTCTGGGGGCAGAAAGTCTCTTTCACCTCTCCTAAGTCACGAGAAGGAGGCGGCAGGGCTTGTCCTCATCAGACTCAGGACTCTGTAAGGAGCTGGGCTGCTTGTGCCAGGGCAAGCATCCCGCCCAGGGTGGTGTAGGCACAGGGCTCCTGCTCTGTGGGTACCTCAGGGCAGGGGCATCAGCCCAAGTGAGCAGCACAGATCCCACATCTCAGGGGAGCCAGGCCTTGTGCGCGGTGGGCCCCACCCCATCTGCATATCTCCCGATGCTGAGGTTCCACAGTTAGGGTCCACCTTCCTTGAAGCCCGGTGGTCCCCATTAGCTAGGAGACATTGTCACCCCCAAGGGCTCATCACTGAGAGGACAAGATGTGCCCCAAGCCCTCCTCAAGGTTTAAAGCCAACCCAGACCCCCCAGAGCTCATGGTTACCTCCTAGATCTATGGCAAATGGTACCACGTGGCCATCGGTTCTAACTGCCCGTGGCTGAAGAGGTTCATGGACCGGTTGACCGTGAGCACCCTGGTGCTGGGAGAGGGTGCCACAGAGAGAGAGATCAGCATGACAAGCACTCGTTGGCGGTGAGCAGGGGGCTGGGGTGGGAGGGAGAAGGGGGCGAGGGCCTGGGTGCCCTGGCTTGGGGCCCCTTATCTTCTGCTTGGAGTCAGATGTCAGCGCTCTCCTCGGAGCTCAGATCTCAGGACTCTCTTCCCCTCAGGGCACCTCCCCACCCCTACACCTCAAGGGCAACGCCCTCCCTGCACTATGCCTGTTTCCCCACCTGCTCTTGCTTCTTGGGGTGCCTTTCATTGAGCAAGAACCCTACAAGAGAGTGGGGCATGAGGAGCAGAGTGGGGAGTCAGGACCAGGGTCTTCACCTGAAGTTACCGTCCTTTGGGTTTGTTCATTTCCAGCAAAGGTGTCTGTGAGGAGATCTCTGGGGCTTATGAGAAGACAGACACCGACGGGAAGTTCCGGTATCACAAAGGCAAAGCCAGTGAGTAGAGTGCGGCCGAGGTTCTCTCCTAGGCTAATACTCCAAGTCTTGAGTAGGCGTCCCTCTGCCTTGGCAATCTCTGCAGATGGATGAGTAGATAAACCAAGAGTGGGAGGGGTGGGTGGGCAGAAGGAGGGAGGAATCCATGAAGAGTTGGGTGGAGGTGAAGGATCTCAGATTAGAAGGGCCTCTGTTCGCTGATGTCTTTGTTTTCCGGGCGCCCCTGCAGAATGGAACATCACCATGGAGTCCTATGTGGTCCACACCAATTATGATGAATATGCCATTTTACTGACAAAGAAGTTCAGCCGCCGCCATGGAACTACCATTACCGTCAAGCTCTATGGTAAACACCTGGGACTAGAAAGGCTGGTTGGGGGTGAAAGGTGACCCATGATTTAGGGACAGTGGCAAGAGAAAGAGCAGGGCATTGAGCTCTCTCCTTTTGACAAAAATCCAATTGGGGAAAAGATGAAAACACTCTCCCTGGAGGAGGTAAAACCCAGTCTCTGTGTGACACTTGATCCTCTTCTTTTTATCTCTAAAATGCAGATCCAGAAAGTCCCAGAGCCTTCAATCCCTTAAAACAACAGGCAAAGTGTCCTCTATGGGGAGTTGGGAGACCTGGGTGGGACCCTGGGAGGGAAACCTCTTAGCTTCTGGTGTTGATCTTTCCATAATTACAGCCAAGAGATCTGGTTGGGCCTATAGTTTCAAACTTGCCCTAAAAGGACGTCACTGGGCAAAGCAAGCTCAGGCCCTGCCAGTCTGGCACCTGTGGTTCAAGGTGTCTCCTCTGCTTACCCGTGCAGGGCGGCAGCCGCAGCTTCGGGAAAGCCTTTTGGAGGAGTTCAGGCAAGTAGCCCAGGGCGTGGGCATCCCCGAGGACTCCATCTTCACCATGGCCAACAGAGGTAAAAGGCATCCCACCCCCACCTTGTGTTTCTGTCCCTCCTTGTCCTCCATGGCCCCCCAGAAAACATCCTTCCAATCCCTCGATCTTTCATAAAACATCCCAGATAGCATGGCTACAGACTGTCCCCATTTACAGAGAAGACAGCTGGGGCCCAGCTCCTAATCACAAGTGTAGACTGGAGTGAGCCAAGACTAGAGCTAATTCAGTGTTTGCTCTTCTGCCACATGCTTAAGCGAGGTGTAAGGGCAGGAACTGGGCACAGTGCAGGTTCTCTGATCCCATGCAGACTGGGTAAAGGAGGAGTCAGAGACCTCAGTAATTTTGCAGGTTTTTTATTTGGGGTTCACCAGGCATATGGCAGGCAGGGGTGTTGGCTGGGGGGCTGGGAGGCTGGCAGGCCTCCCAGCCCCCAGCAAGTCTTCACTCTATCTGGGCTCTCTGGCGTTCTCTGCTTCTGCTTCGGCTTCTCCTTCAGGTTCTGCTGCTGCTGGCTGGGGCTGCTGGCGTCCCCCCATGACGCCGCCCTTAAAAGCACAGTCTTAGCTCAGCTGAATCCCATCTACCTATGCCCACACCCTATTCCAGGTGCCCGCCATCAGGCATGCATTCAGGACAAGGATCCATCATCTATCCTGATGGCGGAAGGGCAGAAAAGCCTGATATTTTCTTTACCCTACACGAGGTTATGCCCAAAATCCATAGGTTAAAAAAGTGCATCCTTAACAATGAACACCTGGGTTCAAAATGCGCTGCATGGCTAGTCATCTGCTCAGAGCCTCATTTTCCTCATCCATGAACTAGAGATAATAATGCCCCCTTTGTTAGTTGCAGGGAGGGGTCAGTGAGATAAAGTTGCCAAATGTAACAGTGCTGGGCCAGGTGTCTAGTAAGTGCTCAGTAAGTGTTAGCCATTGCTATTCATGTGATGGTGCTGATGAATTGCCAGTGGTGGGGTGCAGACAGTGCATCAGATGATGCAAGCAGTCATTTTTCCAATGAATGACCTTGAGTGAGCCAGGGGAGAGGAGCCTTGGAGCCATTCTAGAAGTGGGCTAAGGCACGCACAGTCGCCGTGAACGAAACTGTCTCTGAGTCTACAATGCTCCCCTAGTTTGGCTCTCTTATTCACCCTTCTCTCCTGTCCTCTGACCTAGGTGAGTGTGTCCCTGGGGAGCAGGATGAAGAGTCCTCTCAACTCTCAGTGAGTACCTCTTCCGCCCTCCCGCCCCACCTCCACCTACTTGACTTTTTTTTTTTTTTTTTTTCACCTACTTGACTTTTGCTGCCTTTGCAGACACACCTGGGCTCAGTCTAGGCTCTGCTATTTTAACCTCCTTGTTGCCCCATCTGGACCCTACTTTCCTCATCTGTAAAATGGGGTAATTGCAACTCCAGCATTGTGATAGAATTCAATGACATGTTACACAAGCTTTAGCATAGTAATTAAAAGCAATTGTAGTGGCAGGATGGGCCACAGGGCAGGATCTCTATGATTCGAGCAGATGGGTGAAGAAGGGGTCCTGGAGCCCTCAGTGGCTTTTGCAGGCTTTATTAGGATTTTACCGGGTACACAGCAGGCAGGGGTACCAGGGGACCGGGAGGCTGGCAGACCTCCCAGCCCCCAGCAAGTCTTCACTCTTCCTGGGCTCTCCAGCGTTCTCTTGTGTCCTCTACTTCTCTGCTTCTTTCACTCTTCCATTCTGCTGTTCTGCTGGCATCTGTGTGACACCACCCTTATAAGCCCAGTCTCTCAGCCCAGGTGTACCCACTTACATATGCCCACACCCTACTCCAAGTGCCTGCCTCAGGCATGCATTTAGGACCGCAGGGATCCATCATCAATCCTAATGGTGGGAGGGCAGAAGAGCCTGATACTTTTTCACTTACCCTACAGCAATTCAATACTCAGTAATGAAATAATGATACACAATATTCAGTACATGAAAATAAAGTTAATAAATCTTTGTTTAAAAAGTCCAGCAAAGGTGAAAGCGAGTCGCTTCTCGATCCAGCTTCTGCTCTCCTAAACTGTCTTTTGACTTTTTTGGGCTTTTTCACTCATCTGTTTTATTTTCCTGCCTTTTGCCATATTAATTAAGCTTTCTTCATTTTTAAAAAATATTTATTTATTCATGCATACAAGAACCGGGGTACAGGCCAGATGTGCGGGAGGGTGAGAAGATTCACCAGAGACAAAGCGGGGAACAGAACAGGCAGACTGACTGAAATACACTGCTGAGGTGAGCAGTGGACGAGATAGGAGAGGTCTGCTGTGCCATGTGGGTATCTTGCCAGTTGGCCAGGATCAAACTGGAGCTGCAGAGGTGGCTGACGGCTTCACAGCGCTGCGCTCAACCCCCTGTGCCACCAGGGGAGGCCCAACCCTTCTTCATTTTTTTCTCCGGTTATTCAGAAATTATATTCTAATTTATTCTACTGATGTGTGTAACATATTGATGTGTGTGCATGCATACATTTAGAAACATTCTTGAAATTGAAAAAAAATACTAGAAAACAGAAAAAAAGACAATGTTCTTATTCCTACAGAGAATTAACACTGCAAACACATTTGTTTCCTTCTACATTTTTGAAGAAATTACTGTTCAATTGCATGGATGATTTAAGTTTTCTCCTGCTTCTTACTATCCTGTGTTCAGTGAGATATTTCTTCATTTTAATTTGATTTACCTGAGCAGCAGCATTCCTTCATCTGCCCTATGATTTTTCTCTTTTCCTTCATCAAGAAATGCCTGTATGTGAACAGTTTAATGGGGGTTCTGGCAGATAATAGGAGGACCTGAATATAGCTTTCAGTTGCACCTTAAAAAAGGGCAAAGCTGTAGGTTGCCATAGTTTTAAAATTTTACTTTTTCAGTTTCCAGATCTAGCTTGTGGGCAGGAAGACTGCCCGAGGCTGGTAGTTTCCATCATCCCTTCCTTTTTTTTTTTTTTTGAAGATTTTCTTATTTATACAAGAACTGGGGTATAGTCAGAGGCGCAGGAGGGTGAGAGGATTCACCAGAGCCAGAGCAGGGAGCAGAAACAGGCAGACGGACCAAAGACACTGCTGCAGGGAGCAGTGGGCAAGGCAGAAGAGGTCTGCCGTGCCATGTTGGTATCTCTCTGGCCGGCCAGGAATTGAACCCACGTTGCAGAGGCTGAGGGCAGCTTCACAGCACAGTGCTCAACCCACTGCACCACCAAGGAGGCCCCCCTTTTTTTTTCTTAACATAAGTGCATCAACTTTAATATATTATCAAAATTATAGAGGATAGCCCTATAATTCCAGGGATCTGTAGTAAATGGTAAATAAAACTGCAATCTAAATCTAATTCAAAATTATCAGAAACCTTCAAATTTTACATATTTTCTTATTTTATTTTATATATTTTTACACCATTTTTCATTTTTGCACAATGTATGCATTTCAATCTTGATTATATTCTTCATACAATTCCCACCCCCTATTTTGACCCTAATCGCCTCCCCCCCCCCCCCCCCCCCCATACCACAAGCGAGGTTGTGGAGAAAAAGGAACTCTCCCGCATCCCACATTGCTGGTGGGAGTGCAAACTGGTCCAACCACCATGGAGAGCTGTGTGGAAATTCCTCAACCTGCTAAAGATGGAGCTTCTGTCATCCCTTCTTTAGTTGCCTGGGGTGCTGCCTATGAACTCTATGCCCAGAGGTGCTTTGGGACAGCTGGGCAGTCTGCCCTGCCTGCAGTGCCATCACCACAGCAAGGAGTGTAGAGTCCATCTCAGGCTCCCTTCTCCTCACTCTCTGGCTTTTTCTCTGTCAGCAGCTATGGGCTGGCCAGTCCCTTCCTGAAAACCAGTCACACGCATACTCCACCATGTAGAAAGACCTTCAAGTTTCTAACATGGGAATGCTCTGTCTCTGGGATATGTCTCTTTTCCATTATTATATTCCTTTGGACATTTCCACTGGAAGATGGATATGGGGGTATTCTTGTATCTCGTGGCTCTGATTTTCATTCCAGACCAGAAATCTACCCTGTGGTGCCCATGTGGAATTCAGGTTGATATGGTTGGGAAAACATAACCATTCACTAGTCTAGTAACCACTCTGTCTGCATCTTGTTACCCAAAGCAAATGGATCATTTATGTAGTCTAGGGGTTCAGGTGAGTAATAGTGGCAAAGTCTTTGCAAAAACTTCTCTTCTTCCCCCAGAGAGCCCGCCGGGCTGTGCTTCCTGAGGAAGATGGAGGATCAGGGGCTGGGCAACCAGTAACTGACTTCAGGAAGAAAGAAGGTAATGCTCACTTACCCTTTCAGTCCCTTCTGCCATACTCCAGAGAGGAAGGGTCTATGGCCGGCTAGCCCTGGCTGCTCTCACCACCATGAAGTCTGTTTCTTATTTTTCTGCTGGAATCAAGGACTGAGCCTTAGAAAAGGCAAATTGAGTTCTCAGCAATGTGACAGAGGTTGTGGGGGGAAGAGAGGAGCAGAAGCCATGGTCCCTGAGATTAGTAACTCTCAGCTCCACAAAGAGCTCTTGTCCTGTGTGTGTCACGGTGGACCTCCTAGCCTTGGTTCCCTCCTCTGTGGGACAGCAGCCTGCTGGACTATCAGGGCCATTTTGGGAGAACATGAGGCTGCTTGTGTTTGACAGTGTTCATGAACACTCACTCTCCAGCTCAGCAAAACTTGCTCCATCCCCCAGTATTGGACCCTGAGCTCATGGAGACAAACCACCTCTGCCCTTCTGGAGCTTTTGGTCTATTAGGGGAGGCAGTCAAGGGGAAAAGTGATGGACCCAAAAGGTAGGGTCAGTTGATAGTCTTGGGGCGCTCAGAGGATGGGAGGTGAGGGCATGCAGGAGGGCTTCAAGGATGAAGGGGCGCTCATGCCATGTGCAGGTTTCCAGGTAGGGGTTTATGGAGGGGACATTCAAGAGCGAGGAACCACTAAGAGCAAAGGCCTGGGCATGGGACCTCGGTGAAGAGGTCAGGCTGGCCAGCATGGGTACTGATGAACGTATCCTCAGCTACTATTACAGATGAAACCAATGTGGGGACAGAGGGTCTGTGGGTCCCTGGTAACTAACTCTGCTTGTTTAAATGGAATGAGCACGAATTTTGGTGTGCAACAGACATAGTTTTGAATCGCAGATCTACATGACCTTGGGCAAGTCACTTTACCTCTCAGAGAGTCAATTTCCTCATCTAGAAAAACAATCGGTCATCCTGCCTTTTAGTGCAGGGATGAAACTAAATGAGATGATACTTAAGTTCGGCCTGTTGATAGACACATGGTAAGCCCTCAGTAAATGCTGCCGCGCTGCCCTCCCCAGAATCCTGCCAGCTGGAGCGTGCGCAAGGTCCCTGCCTGGGGCTGATGAAGAGGTATTTCTACAACGGCACATCCATGGCCTGTGAGACCTTCCATTACGGTGGCTGCCTGGGCAATGGCAACAACTTCGTTTCTGAGAAGGAGTGTCTACAGACCTGCCGCACCGTGGGTGAGGCTCCCCACCTCTCACACTGCACCCCCACAACTCTGACCTCCCAATAAACCTTACTGCCAATTGAAGAGGTAGCAATGGCGGAGTTCCAGGAAAGTGTCCTGAAGTCATAGGAATCACACATTTGGATAGGGGTGACCTCATGGACCCCAGCTCCCCAATCCATGAGAAAGGGATTAGGTGTCTGGGATGAGCACAGTGCCGGGTCTCTGGCCAGCAATCCTTAAACTCACTGCTTCATGCCTCTCCTCGTCCACAGCTGCCTGCAATCTCCCCATAGTCATCGGCCCCTGCAAAGCCTCATTCGAGCTCTGGGCATTTGATGCTGCCCAGGGCAAGTGCGTCCAGTTCAACTACGGGGGCTGCAATGGCAACGGCAACCAGTTCTACTCAGAGAAGGAGTGCAAAGAGTACTGTGGAGTCCCTGGCGAAGGTAGGAGGCTGCGGGGAAGCCGGCTGGGTCAAGGGGCTATTGGGACCCAGGAGGGAGAGAGAGGAGGTGGGGGTCTGGAGAGCTGACTACTGGGCTCCGGACCCGGTGACCAGCCTATCTACTCTCTGAGCCTCAGTTTCCCGAGTAAAATAGGGCCAAGCCCGGGGCCTTACTCCTGCTGGGAATGAGACGCCTAGGGAAGGGCTGGTCAGATGCAGGCCAAGGGTGTGCAGGGCAGGCCAAGAGCTGGGCAGAGCAGGACTCTCGTTCTGGCACTGCCATATCTGGGCTGGTCATGTTAGGCCAGTGCCAATCATGGCACTTACAAAGTTGGTCAAAGTATCTACTTCCCAGTGCTCTCGTGCTTGGTTAGTGGCAGCTGTTACTAATATAGATGGTGGCGCTATACTGATAATAGTAATAGCATTCCAGGGAACTGCAGTCATTTGAGATTTCTGGGCTTGATCTCCCCACTGGCAAAACATAAAATAAATCAGAAGAAGCAAAAAACCAGATCATTCTGTAGAATATACTTTGGAGATATCAAGTCCTTCAGCAAGTAGAAGTTTCTGGCTTCAGGCTCAGGTCCCAGCTCAGCCCAAGCTGCTTTCTCCCCTCAAGAGGCACCCCAGCCCCCACCCACAGACCCCCTGGCGACCTCACACCTTCTTTCTGAGCCTCTCTGCGTCCACAGGGGATGAGGAGCTGCTGCGCGTGTCCAACTGACCCGTCCACAGGCCTCGGGGAGGCAGGAGGCCCTGGGCCAAGTGAGCTGGATTCAATTAAAGCCAAACTGTCGACTCCTGAGATGCCAAGTCCTGACTGTTCATTGTCATTATAAATATAATGAGGTGGAGGGAACAGGGGGTGGGGGGATTCAAAGCTGGGGTGGGGATATTGAGTAATCCCAGCTTTCCCTAGAAGTGAAAAATGTATGTATTGGAAATATAATAGAAATATCTTCAATAGATGAAATTGGCTATGCAAATTATGAAACAAATCACATCAATCATATTCACTCCACAGTAGTATAAAGTGAGAGTGTTTTCTTTTAATAAAGCTAGACAATAAAGGCCACAGAATTGTCTTTAGGAGGATGGGTCAGAGGTGAGGCAGGACTAGATGAGATAATTGTGCCCTAGTGTGTCCAGGAGGATCAGGGCAAACAGCCCACAGGGGCCTAAAATGACTTCCTTGTCCTTTGCCACATGGAGCTCCCTCCTTCCCCCCAATATCTCGCTCTGGTCACAGACACCCTCCCCAACGCCTACTAACAGGAGCCAAAAGCCTCGAGTTATTTCTTCCTCCTTAGGGCCTTCCCTGGGGTCCTCACTTGGGCCCTTTGCCTGGAAGAATGTTTACTGACCCTCACACTGTCCCAGGACCAGGCCAGTAGTGCTGGGCCTGGTCTGGCTTCTCCTTTGAGCAGGCTGTTCAGGGTGGCTGTCCGGGGTGGCCGGGGACACCAACCTGTCCAAGCACACAACTCCAGGAGCCTCCAATTCAGACACTGGATTCACAAATACCAAATTCATAAACATCCCTTGCTGGTTCCTTTCATCAAAGCCTGATGGCTGCTGCTGCTGCGGGGGTGAGACCCCAGCTCTGCATGTACTGAGGTGGAAAGCTCAGCAGGCAGCGCCAGCCCGTCTCCACGGGGCGAGCAGAGCACTAAGGGCAAACGGCTAATCAGTCAAGGGTCCCTCTAGGATATTAGCCTATTTGCTTAAGAGAATCATTAGGAAGGAAGGGCAGGAACTGCACGTCCCATGTGGAGGGGATGAACCCAGATGTAAGGATTTGTGCTCACAAAGCTTTACAGCCTCTTGAAGAGCCTCCTCCCTGTAACTGCCCCAAAGCCCACTGCTTGCGGCAGTGGGGGCAGCTCAGGGCAGGGCAAGGAAGGAAGGACTGCCCTCCAAGTGCCATTTGGGGTCGGGCAGGCTGGGGCAGAAGTGGGTGGGTGGGGCAGGGGCAGGGAGACGTGACTGACAGGCTCTCTGGCCTGGAACTCTGGAAGAGCATGGTATCCTGTACCCAGCCTTGTTCCCTCACCAGGCCTCCCCCACCAGGGCCAGACACCCAGGCCACTTTGAGAGGGGGCATCTTGGAGAGGGATGTTTTGAAGCACCCTGGAGGGTAAATGCCTAAACCGGAGGGTGTGGGCCTCCGGTGCCTGGGCCAGTTGGTGGGGCGGTCCTTTGGTTCAGAAGGCATTGTTTGCAGCAACAATCTCACCATTTTAAAACGGAGTGTCCACATGAAAGTCTAGGCTTCTCAGTTCTCTTGAATTGTCCGTCCCAGCAGCTGGGGGCCTGCATCCTTCACACCAGTAGCTGAGCTGGAGCAACTCCTCTAGATGGGCTTGGCCAGTCCTGCCCTGGAAGCCACGCCTCCACCACACCCGCTAAAACCTTCACTTCCCGAACCCCCCTGGGTCATGATTTCATCCCTCCAGGGTGGAGTGGGGTTGAAGCAATTCTGTGACCCTGAGTCTGTGTTGTTCATCTCAGAAGGTGCCGGAATCACGCTCAGCAAAATGGCTGCCCTGGAGACTCTCTTGGTCTTAAACACTCTGACCTCACTTTTTCTCTTAAAGATACTGTCCACACTCATTTGTTACAAAATAGATATGGCTGCTTAATATAGAAACATCCTGAATATTTTTTTTTGTTTTTAATCCCGAGGCTGGCATTGGGCTGTGAGGGCTCCAGGCCTATTGGATTGTGATGTCAGAAGCACAGGGGGGATCCTTTCAGCTACAGCTAGCGGTTCAGGTTCAGCTACAGCTAGCGGTTCAGGTTCAGCTAGCTTTTGGTTCAGGTTCCACAGAAACTCCTTGATTTCTTACCTTGGAGGGTGCTGAGTCTTCCCGTGAGTAGTGAGTGATGCCATCATGATTTTAGGCAATGTCACGGACCCTCTTCCTTAGATAATGGATGATAGACATGACACAGCACATCACGCGTATGGTTTGGGAGTGGCCGAAGGAAGGGGCTGGTGAGGCACTCAAATGACCACTGGGCCAGGGGAGCTCGGATGTGGGCCTCTGGAGACGCGCGTGTACACTGGAGGGGTGGGAGACAAAGTCCATGCGGTCATAAAGGGACCGAGTCCTGGGAGTCTGGCTCAGAAAGTGGTAAAGTTTCGGCAGCCAGTGACTGGGGAGGGAGCATTAGCCCAAGGGAATGCTGTGGGAACACCACAGGGGCCTGAGTGGGCTGCCCCATGGGACGCTGCCCAGGTCTGGAGAATGAGCTGAGGAAGGAGGGCACCAGAGCTGCCTGGCAGGGCTGTGCAAGGATCTGGCAACTGCGTTCAGGCACTGGACTGAAAAGTTTGCACCGACTCCCGCTGACTCTTAGCTTTCTCAGATGCCATCAGAAACTTGACAAAAGCTATGAACACTATTCCTAGAAAAAAGACAACACATACGCCCCATCGCCCAGCAGGCCAAGGCTGCCAGGCAAAGGGTCCTCTGGGACTGGGAGATGAAATCTGTCCGCCTTCCATGGACAGCATCCCCGAGCAAGGCAATTTCCTCCCTCACCTACCAAACATCAGCTGAGCTGAGCTGGCGCTGGAGGTGAGCAAGCTCACAGGTGGGGAGGCAACAAGCCTGGCCTCGGGACCACCCCCTTGGGATGGATTGGAGAGCCTCAGCGACCTGCCTCTGGCCCATCTTTGCTCACCAGCGCCTGTAGGTGCCCTGCTCCTGACTGGATGACAGCCCACCCTCAACCCCAGAAATAACGCCACACACGGCCGTCTTCCTAAAGGTTGTTTTATTGTAAAACCATAAATACAACACTGACATGAAATCATTTAAGCAACTGATCCTCTCTAACCATTAAAAGGATGTCTTTTTGCCTTGGCATCAACCAACTGGGAAATAATGTTGCAAGAATTCTAGGGATAGGGGGTGCTGAATTCTGGGCTGGGGCTTTTGGTGATTTAAGAAACCAAGTGGAACCTTCCTCTTCTCCCTGGGAATGTCCCACTTTCGGACAAGGACAGACAGGTAAAAACAGCAACATTTAAACAGCTCAGTTTTAAATTTTATTACTTTGTAAAAATCTTTCCTGTTCCTTTCCTCCATTTGACATCAGTAAAAGTTTTAAACACCACGGAACTGATTTTGGCTGTAAATGGAGAAACGGTACCAAAACAAAGTGAAACAAAAAACCCAAGGACAAACAGAAAACCCTAAATAAACCCTCAAGTTTGGTCTTGGGGGTTTACATATCACAAGAACCGTCAACTCAACCCCCATGCAAAGTGACTCCTTGGAGAGCTGTTGGATCCACACCAACGACACAGGAGACCACAAACAACGTCTTTTGTTAATTAACACAGCAAGGGTGACACTAGGTAACTTTTTTTTTTAAATACAGTACATGGTACACAGGGACCCAAGATGGCCCTGCATAAACCCCTCGTGGAGACTGGAGCCAAGCACTGGCTGTTTATAAAAATATTGTGTTGCTACAAAAGTATAAATTAATGCTACCGGTATTAAGAAATATTAAACACATAAAACTTATAAGGATTAAGAAAAATATTCATTAATACCTGTAGAAAACTCTGGCCTAAAAAAGATATTTTTTTGTGTTTGTTTTTTTGTAAATTTTTTTTTGTATTTTTTAAAGATGACTTGAGTTTCTTGCACTCGAAGAGACACAGTCAGCTGTGCCTATGGTATTGCCTAGAACGTCTTACTACTGAGAAAGGATGGGGTGCACGCACGTGGTCACTGAGTGGGGTGTGGGAGGGAGGGGCACCAAGGCTTTCTCGAGATTTACCTGATGTGAAATAATCACCGATGTGAAGTCACGGGGAAAAGAAAAAGGATCAGAAACCAACTGAAAATAATTTATGCTTTTTAAAAAATATCTCTGCTTTGGGTGGTTGTACAAAATGATTTCCTGATGCTTGGGATCTGAATGGCCCCGGACGCACCACCTGGTGGGTCTGAGCCTCCAGCTCTGCAGAGCCCTCTCTCTCCTGGCTGGAGAGCCCCAGCCCCAGGCCAGTCCACACACTGGCTCTCCACCTGGGAACCCCCAAGGGTCTGCGGGGGAAGATGGGCTGGCACCTGGGTGGTGGAGGGGCCTCTTCCTCCTGCTGGTCTCAGACCCCACAGTCTCTGCCAACCCAGACTTAGCCACGGGGATCCCAGGCTCCTGAGGTTGCAGACTAGGCTGGGCTGTGCCCCTTTAAGGAACTTTGGTTCGAAGAGTCGAGGTGCCCGGTGAGACGTGTGGGCGGGTGAGTAGGACCCTTGTGGGGCCTGGTGCTGACGCCCAGCTGCCAACCCAGCAAAGCCTTGTGTGTCAGGACTGAAGCTTTAAAGGCCACCCGAGGGGGCGGTGGTGGGGGCATGAATGTAACTCACAGCAACCTAACGATCTCTACCCTCATCAGAGAGGGCAGGTGCCTCTTCACACAGAAACCACAGGGCCCCTCCAGGCCAAGGTAGACCTCTACCGACCCCGATCCTCAAACCCAAATGAGACAAGAAAAACAACAATCCTCCAGAAAACCCTAAAAAGGGGAAACGTAAGAGGGAAAACACTGTATCATTGGTTCACCATAACTGGCCTAGCAAACATTAGCCACAGTGAAGAGGGGCAGCAGGCCCCTGCCCAGTCTCCCCCTGGCCCAGCTGGATATAGGGGCTGAGACAGGAGCCCCCAACCTGCTATCTCACGGAACAGCCTGAACCCAACCGAGCCTCTGGGTGCTGTCTAGCCTTCCTACAGACCTCCTGCAGGGACAGCCTAGGGTCACAGGTGCTGCTGCTGAACCCAACGCAAGGGCCAAGCTATGAGCTTGACCCAGTTCAGTGGGACAGGAGGAGGTCCACCTGCCCAGCGCGCCATCTCCCCGACTCCTGCAAGCGCATCCACCGTGATAAAAAATGCAGGTACCGTTCCCCTTCTGGGTTGCCTCACTTTTCCCAGTTTCATGTGAAGCCTTTCCGATGAACCTCCGGCCCCCCCGGAGAGAGTGCATGCTGCACCCCTAGCTTATCTCCAGTGCCTACTTCCCAAGGAGCCTGGCTCAGTCCAGGCGGAAGCAGGAGGCCTTGCACACGCCCGGGAGCTCCCTAAAGGCAGGGACTTGGGTTCACAGTGGAAAGCACAGCGCGCAGAGTTGTTCTCTGGTGTTTCTTCAGAGAGCAGGACGTAAGGAAGCAAACGGAAGCAGAGGACACTGGCCGACCTATAGATTTGGTGTAAAAGAAGGTCCTTCCAGGAGTCCTGGTGTTACATCCCTTCTCCACGGTGTCACTGGGCTGTCCTCTCCTGGCCAGGGAAGCTCAAGACCATTTTCCAGCCAAGAATCAATCCCCTGATGCCAAGCACGAGGTTGCCAAGTGGAAGGTGGCAAAGCATCCTTGCTCATGCCTGCGGTAGCTTTCTGTGCCATGAGCCCCCAAGATGAAGAGGAAGCAGACACGGGCTCCACAGTTTCCTGCTTTCTAACTATCAGCGGGAATGAGGCAGGCTCCGGAGTGCCTGGTGGCGGGGAGAATGTGGTGGCATGAGGCACCTGCCCACAAAGACTCGGGTGGCGCTGCTGCTTTTGGTGCAGCCCAGACTGCCCAGCCCCAACACTGTCTCAGAGGACCGCCGTGATGGTGTCGCCCTTGGCGTGGGCTTTGGTGGTGAAGCTGACTTCCCACAATGAGGGAGACGAATTCTGCAGAGTGGTGTCTGTGCCGGCTCCCCCTGGGGTCCAGGCATGCCAGAACCTGGCCATTTCTGTCCTGGGACTCACATGGCTTGGGACAAGTCGTGTGCAGGTCAGCAGGTGCCTGCCAAGAACACCGTAGGAATGACCCGACCTCCTGGCCCACCCATTCCCAAAGGCCCGGGGTGGAAAGCCGCTGCGATGGTCAGAGCTGGGAGGCCAATGCCAGATGGGCAGCAGGGGCAGACCTGGAAGAGCCTTTCTCGATCCTTTGGCTGAACTAGAATTTGGATGAGGCAGATATTGCTGGAATAGGGGGCCAGTGGCTGGACCTGTAAGATCTTTGGGTTCTATTAAGCTGTTCATTGCAGGATTTGCGCTGGGGGAGCTGCCCACATAAAAGAGACTAAGGGGGCTTGGTGCAGCCTCTCCTGTTGGTGACGCCAGTTTCTGGGGAACTGGAGGGAGCAAGCATGTGATCTGCCATCTTGTTTCTTGACGCGAGGCAGCCACATCACACCTGCAGAGCAGAGGATTGAACTGAGGGTGGGGAGAACAGAACAGGAAGTGACATGTATGACCAGATACCTAGCGTTTAGTAAGACTTACTGGAATTTTCACTGAGAGTGTGCGGAGGAAGCACACACCAGCTTAGAGAGAAGAATGCCGAGTCTTCTACATGCATGTCTGGGCTTGGTCTCTGATGGCTTTGCAAGAAAACGAAATGCTTATTTTTGAATTGGCCCAGAATGAGGCAACACCAGCACAGCTCTGGTGTGAGAGGAAGGATGAGCTCCAGGGCTCCAGCCCACTGACCACAGAGTGGGCAGCTCTGGTCCTCCCTCAGCAGCCAAGCTGAGGGACCTCTGCTGTTGGTATCTGCCACTTATCAGCAACCCACAGCCGCCTTCTGGAAGGCCCCCAAGGGCCTGGTTGAAGTTTGCTGATGCACCCATATTCTGCAGGGAGCGACCTTTGATGACTGTCCAGATTTCTCCCCAGCTCTGGGCCAGATGGAGGCTCCTCTGATGGCATGACCCCAGTGGGAAATGTTCTGGAAGAAATCTGTAGAACTCCTCCAGGAGAGGAAACGGAAATAGCCCACCTTGACGCATTTCAGTATATCCAAGGCGTGCAGGGGCAAGCTGGCTTAGCGCTCACGAGGCAGAGCAAACAGGCGTGACCCTTAGGGACAGTGTTCTGGTCCATGATCCTAAACCTTGAGTTTTTCACCAACTTGACTTCCTCATTGGTCATAGACCAGGGCGGGAGAGGACTGTTGTACAGTGCTTCTTGAAGTCGAGGTATCTTGCAGTTGAGTAATGCTTTATTACCAGGAAAAGATGGAGTGGACTCAGCCAACTCCAGGATGGTAGGACATGCCTTTGCAAAGAGCCTTAGACCAGCCCACGATGCTGGTCATTCCCAGCTCGAACCCTTGGCGTGCCCTCCTCTATGACTCAGCCTTGGGGACAGGGACCACCAGCACTTTGCTCACTCAGAGATGGGGAGAGGGTTGAGCAGTGACCCTGATGGAACCACCTCTTGTAAGGAGGGAAAGGTGCACCCTCTCAGCATTTGGACTGAGTGTGCAAAACCTAAGTTGCTCACAGCTGGGGCACCAGGAGAGGAAAACCTAAGGGTATCTTTCACAGTCAAGATGAACGTGCTCTATTGCCACCCATTCTTGAAACGTCAATCATTTGGCCCACAAGGCACCGTGCTCAACTACTGTCCCAGAAGGAGGGCTGAGGATAATGTGGGGACCCCCATGGCCACGAGCAAAGGAGCCACTGGAACTCCCGAGGCCCTGGAAAGGGAGAGGAGCCCACGGTTCTGAGGTGTGGCAGACGTGAACACGGATCCACTCAGGAGGCCCTGCATGTGTAATGCACTCTGGGTATATTAATCAGACATTCGCAGTACCAGACACAGCGAGCCAGGAGGATGGGGCTTCCGCTTACATTCAGAACTCCTGAGCCACACGCTTCCCTATGGCTGCCACCAAATCCCACCTCTGTAAAACCTGTGAGTCCAACCCCACTCCTGGTCTCCAAACACCACAGCCAAGTTCATGGTCTTGGCTGTTCGAATACACGAAAACTGGACTGTACAGGGAAGGCTAATAAAAACCCTAGGATACTGAATATGCCACTGAGATGAACTAGTTTACAGTGTGACTTGAGGAACAAATAGGGCAATTAAAAAAAAAAAACCCTCCAAAACATAAGTTATAGACATTCAGTGCTCCTAGCAGAGTCTAAATCAAATTTGGGGGGGAAAAAAAAAAGAGATAAAAACTGCTAAAATGTTAAGGAAAAAAATGAAGGAGTGGAGACAGTATCTATACGTCTTTGAAAAATGTCTTTTTTTTCTATCTTATATTAAAAAGCAAAAAGTCAGCTTTATATTCTTAAAGTCTCCTTTCCTGATTTGGGGAGATAGATAGGTGTGTTTCTAAGGCGGCCACCCTGTGGCACCCGAGGGGTGTCACGAAGGCAGCAGCTCAATGCCCTGAAGGTGAACGAGAATAAAGTCCAGTGCAGAAACTGTCCATCTGATGCAGTTTGGAGAATCCATGGCAGAGCAGCCGGGGAGGGCCGGGTGTGGGGCGGTCAGGAGGGCTTCAGGGGAGGGATGCAGGGAAAGGGGGGAGCAGAGGGTGGAGGACAGAGAGCGTCAAGTCACTTCAGATCTCAGCTGCCTGAACATTTTACATCAGCTTTCTACCGATCTGCACACCTGAAAACGGAGTCTTGTAAAGCCCCCTTCTGAGAAAAGGAGGTGAAGCGCCTTCCCTCTTTCCCACTTAGCTTTCCTGACACACCCAGTTTAATGCACACGCGCCCACGAGCAGGCATGTGTACATGCACCAGGGTAGTGTGTGTGTGCATGCGTGCACGAAGCCTGTTGAGCCCAGAGCCCACACACCCCACAGCTGCGCACACGGGTCTGGACACAGTTGCACGCGTGCGGGTGTGCACACACATGCACACACACACTGAAAAAAAGCACTTAAGTTTCCAGGGGGCATTTATAATGAGGTCCACAGTGTTTAGAACTTAAAATTCCTTTTCTTTGTTTGCGACAGTGTTGTTTGTTTTTTCCCTAATGTTCTCTTATTTTTTTTCCTTCTTTTCTCTTTGTTCTGAGTCAAGCCTTAAAGCATGTTGGATTTCAGAAACATGAGTTTGTTCATATCTTCTGGACTGAGCAGTCGCCTCCTTTTGATTAGAAGAGCTTGTTCACACATATTTACACAACCGCTCCTGGCCCCCACGGCCGGAACCGCTAGGAGCCAGAAGGCCAGCTTGGCGAGTTTTGTGTGCTTTTGGGTCACGCATGACCAGTATTGGAAGAGATCAGGGGTGGCCTGGAAGAGGGGCTCCTGCAGGTAATCGTACACCTCGTTCTTCCCCAGCCGATCGTCTTCCTGAGCTGCAGCGTTCTCGCCGGGGGCGGAGCGCGGCTTCTTGACGCTGGGCTCAAAGTCGGCCTCTTCGGTCCAGGACTCCTTCACCTCATTGATGAGCTCACACACCTTGCCGATGATCTCCTCGTGCTGGTAGGGTGGCACAGGCCGCAGCTTTTGCTGCGGGTCCAGGATCATGGCCACCTTATGTGCTGGGTGCACCTTGAAGTTCTCCTTGAGCGCCTCCAGGAAGAGGTGGCACAGTTTGCTGACGGTGCCCGCGTCATTGGCCTTGGCCGTGAACAGCTTCTCCAGCCGGACGTAGGTGGGCAGCACCAGCTGCAGGGTGGGCTGGCTCTCATTGCTCAGCTCGATGACCGCCTGTTTCACGGGCGTCAGGATGGCCGCCAGGTTGCTGAGCAGGTGTTTGTTGAGACTCTGGATGAGGTTCATCTTCTTGGCCCGGCTGTAGAACTCGCAGATCTGCTCGTAGCGCTCGTGCACCAGGAGCAGTGAGTCCGTGACGGAATTCCAGCAGGGTGGCGGCGAGGTCTCCTCCAGCGACCCGAAAGTCTCCTTCGCAAGGCCCGTGGAGCCGGCCAGGTCCTCGCACACGTTGAGCAGCTCGATGACCTCGTGCATGCTGCGGGCCTGCAGCGTCCGCTTGCTCAGCACGCTCTGCACCACCGAGTTCAAGGCACAGGCTGAGCAGCGAAGGCACATGCCGGCCTTGGAGAAAGCAGATGCGCTCACCCGGCAGTCCGTCACATACACTGTCCTGATCTCCGACATCACGAACTCTGATAGCACGTTCTGTACCCAGTGGTGCACCAGGTCGCCACTGTCACGAATGTCTGCCCCCTTCACACCCAGCACGTAGCTCTTGATGTGGTTGCCCTCCGCCTGGTAGGCCGTGAGGATGTAGCAGGAGTCGGGGCCAACACTCTGTGAGTGGCAGGTGACGCCGATGCCCAGGCAGGCATTGCTGCCCAAGGCACATGTCACCTTTACCTTCACCTGGTTGTACATGCGCGGCAGATGCTTCAGCGCCAGCGTGTTGAAGTTACCCAGGATCTCGGTGACGGAGAAGGCACCGTAGCGGGCGCCGCTGTCCACCAACGTCTGGGCCAGCTTCAGGAACTCCTTCCCACTCACCACGCTCAGCGCGCCCAGGTCAGCACACATGACCCGCAGCAACCGCTCTGCTATGTTCTGCCGTTCCTTCTCAGGGATCATGCTGTTGGGTGTTAAGCTGCTGGTTGTGGCTGGCAGGGGACACAAAGAGAGATAGGATTAACCATGGCATTCACGGCTCCTTGGTATGGCAATAGCCTGAGACTCTAAGCATCTAGTATTAGGAACTCTGGATAGATTTCACCGTGCACACAAATTGTTGGTGTTGGTGGTCTTTAATATGTGATGATCTCACTGTAATACATTTCTGTGATCAACTAGTAATGCCTGCTGTGGGCACAGGAATAGGTGTAATGATGTGTGCAACATAGTTGCTACATGTGTCACTCACACAGACCTTTGAGCCAACTAGTCTAAATTAATCCTCAACAAAGGAACTGCTTCCAACACAGGATTTGCCAGTGAATAAAATACATGAGGCCACAGTGTCAGGAAAGAGCGGCCAATTATGGCGAATGGATCCCAGTTCACATTCTGATACTAATTTGACCCAGAACAGATCACCTTCTGTCGTCCATCCACTGGGGTCAGAATTTCCACCAACAGAGTTTTAGGTATGAGAGTGCTTTGAAAACCATCAGGCATGGTGCCATCTTGGGAGGCATGAGTGCTGCGGGTGAGGACAGCGGGAAGACCCCCTGGGCTGAGGCCTGGGAGAGACCTACTGTTGTTGGCGCTATTCCTCTGGGCCTGGGGTTTCCACTTCTCTTCAACAACAGCAGGTGGTGACCGGGACTGGTTGGAGGCGATGTTGTTCTCATTGTCCGCTGTGGACACAAAGGGCACAGTGCATTACCCTGAAGTACAAGAGGCTGGCCAATGAGAAAACACGAGGTGAGTGTGAGCCTGGAGGGTGAAAGCAGAGTGGTCTCAGGGACTCAGGCCAGATTTCAAATCCTGGCTCCTCCTAAGACAGCTCTCCTAAGCTCACCAAGCCTCATTCTAGCATTTAGAAAAACGAAGACATCACAGAGGGGACACAGCTGCTGAAAAGACTCAGAAGAGATAAGGCAGGGAGAGCCTTATGGGAGCCAAGTGGCACCCTTATTTCTTTGAAGTGTATTTTTTAAAAATCTTTTCAGCATATCTACAAGACCGTCAATCCAACAAACAAAACAAATGTTCTCCATGACAGGAAATGTGAAATTCTCTACCCCTCAATGTGAGATTGGAAACAGAAGTCCAGATAAAGGAATGGATTTGCCCGTGATCACAACAAGTCAATCCAGGTCTCCTGCTTTCTAGATGCGTCTTTTCATGCATTTCCCTAATTTTTCACCAGCACAGATGTAATTTATTCATTACTGGCACATGCCCAGTCATCTGTAATCCTGGCTACTCCTTGACTTTAAGAGATTCAGCTCTGTGTACAATGGTTGAGTTACATGCTATCATCACAGGCAACCACATAATCCTCTATCTATAAAGCGCAACAGGTGGGTCACCCACACTCCAAGTCCTGAGTTTCTGGGCTGCGCTGCTGCCAATATTACTGCTCTGTCATGAACCTGCTTGTCTAACATTCGAATACTGCTCTCTGCCTTTTTTGGGTGTTGCTGTTGCTGTGGGTTTAGCTCCTTGATACAACATTTTAAAGTAAGAATTCACAGCTGAGGATGTGAGGGGGGGTCAATAACACTTGTTCAGGGCTGTCAGCAGCTTCCATTCTTTTCAACTGAAATTACCTTTTTTTAGTGAAATAGATGAAGGGGTCAAATACCCATGAATATATGATAATCCTCAAAGTGTGTACATGTGGTAACAGAACAGCAAAACATACAAAGCAAACACTGAGAGAACTGAAACAAGAAACAGAATATTCAGTTACAACAGAGATTTTAGTTCTCATCTCTCAGAAATTGTTTCCGAGAGAAAAAGAAGAGGAAAAATGAACACAGACACAGGGAGTGGACACGATCACATAGTCTATGAAACATGACTGGATTCCCAGAAAAAGGAGGTGGGGTAGCAATCATATAAAGCATGATTCTGACCATAACTGAATTAAATAGAAATCAGTAACAAAAAGATAATTGAGAAAAATCGCAACTATTTGAATATTAGACATTACAAAATAACTCAGGGACCAAAGAACAATCATGAAGGAAATGAGAAAATGTTTTGAACTAAATGAAAATATAATGGTGATATTTCAAAATTTGTGGGATATACGTAAAGCAAGGGCTTTATTCACAGTATTAAATAATTACATTAAACAAAGAGAAATGTTCATGATCAGTATTATAGGTTTCCACCTTAACAGACCTAAAAAGGAAGGGGCTGTTGAATCTAAAAACAGAAGAGAGGAATAAATGTAACAGAAAGAAATTAGCAAAATTACAAGCTGGTTCTTTATGAAAAAAAATCAACAAAAAGGATAAACTTTTAGTCAGAAAATCTTTTCAAAAAGCAGCACACAGGGCCTCCCCGGTAGCGCAGCGGTTGAGGGCTGGGTTGCGAGGCTGCCCACAGCCTCTGCAGCGCCGGTTTGATCCCTGGCCGCGGGCGAGGGTCCCACATGGCACACAGACCTCTCCTGCCACGCCCTCTGCTCCCCTCAGCAGTGTACCTCAGTCCTTATGCCTGTTCTGCTCCCAGCTCTGGCTCTGGTGAATTCTCTCACCCTCCCTCGCTTCTGACTGTACCCAGTGCTTGTATAAATAAATAAATAAATCTTAAAAAAAAAAAAAAAAAAAAAGCAGCACACAAATTATAATTATCAGGAATGAAAGAGGGGACATCACTATAATTCCACAAATGTTAAGGGATTAAAAGTGATTAACAACTTTATGCCAATAAATTTAAGTACTTAAATAAGGTAAATAAATACCCTAAAAGCCCCAAAGCAGCACAGGGGACCCCAGAATAAATAACCTGAAATGGTCCTTTGTCTACTGAAGAAATTAAGTTCACAGTTCAATAACCTCTCACAAGGAAACATCTCCCTATGGACTCACCGGTGAATTTGATCAGTTTAAGGAAGAAATGATACAAATGCTATATAAATTCTTCCCAAAAATGGAAGAGGAAAGCATATCTCCCAAATCATTTTATGAAGTTAATATTCTCCTGTTCCAAAGCTAAAGCAAAACATTACAAGAAAGAGAGACTAATAGCCCTCATAAATGCATGTAAAAATCCTTAACAAAATGTTAGCAAGCTAAACATAGTGATACATAAGAAGAATAATACATCACGACTAGGTGCAGTTTATCCCAGAAATGCAAGTTGGGGTTAATTATAGAAAACCAATCCATGTAACTCCCTATACTAAGAGGAAAAAAAAGAAGAAAAATCATCTCCATGGATATAAATGCACATTAAAATGTGACAAAATTCAACACCCACTCAAGATACAAACTCTCAGTAAACTAGGAAGAGAAGGAAACTTCCTTAACCTGATAAAGGGCATCTCAAAAAACCTTTAGTTTCCTGACCTGAGAGAAATAAAAAGGATTATAAGGAAATGCCAGGAACAAGGACTCCAACAAATTAGATGAAATAGACAAATTCCTAGAAAGACATAAACTACCATGAATTAATAAAAAAGAAGAGGAGGAACCATTTCTCAATTCATTTTATGAGGTATTATTCTGATGTCAAAATAGGCAAAAAAATAACAAGAAACTACAGCCCGCTCTCCCTTACAAAGACTGACACAAATACACTCATAAATTACAGCAGAGGAAATCTAGCAACAAATATAACAAATTATACATCATGACCAAGTGGGATTTAATCCAGGAATACAAAGTTGATTTAATATACGAAAATCAATGTAACGTATCATATTAATAGAAAAGAGGACAAAATGTACATGATCATAATCAATACAAAGTACTTGACAAAACCATATACCCTTTCATGATGAAAACTCTCAGATAACTAGGAATAAGGGAACCTGATAAAAGGCAACGATAAAAAAGCCAAAGCTAAAATCACTCTTAATGTCTAAGATCAGGAACAAGACAAGAATGTTCACTCTCATCTCTTCATTTTAACAAGTATTAAAGGTTCTAACTGGGGTAATTAGGTGAAGAAAAAAAGGGCATTCAGAGTATAATGGAGGAGTAAGATTATCTCTCTTTGCAGATGACATGATTGTGTGTAGACCAAAAATTCTATGGAATACACACACACACACACACACACACACAATTAGAATTAGTATATGAGTTCAGTAAGATTGCAGAATACAAGATCAACCCTATACAAAAAACAAAAAAACAATAAATGCTCCAAGATTTAAATTAAGAAAACAATTACATTTATAATTGCTTTCAAAAGAACAAAATACTTAGGGAGACATTCACAAAAGTGCAAGACTGAAAACTAAAAACATGTTGAAAGGATTCAAAGACTTCAATGCAAAGACATTTCATATTCATGGATTGGAAAATTTAGTTATTTATTAAAATGGCATACTAGTCAAGTTGATCTAGATTCAACATAATCCCTATCAGAATCCCTGTTTGGCTTTTTGGTAGAAATGGATAAACTGATACTAAAATCCATGTAGAAATGCAAGAGAACCAAAACAGCCACAAAACTAATGAAAAGAAACAAAGTTGGAGGTTTCAAAACTAGTACAAAGCTATAGTAATCGAAGATAGTATGTACCAGCATATGTTCATGGTCAGTTGATTTTTGACAAGGGTGCTAAAAAATTCAGTGGGGAAAAGAAGATTCTTTTCAAAAAATGGTTCCGAGACAATTGGATATCTGAGCGTAAAAGAGTGAACTTGGACCCTACCTTGTACCACATACAAAAATTAATTCAAAAGCAAACACAGACCTAGACATAAGAGTTAAAATTATAAAACTCTTGCAATCAAAACAGAGCTAAGCCTTCATAACTTTGGGATAGACAATGACTTCTTAGAGGACACCAAAAGCACACACAATGAACTTCATCCAAATGGACTTCATTCAAATGAAAACTTCTGCACTTCAGAGGACAGCATCAAGAGAAGAAAAACACAACACAAAAAGGGAGAAAATATTTGCAAATCACCCATCTATAAGAGGTCTTATATCTGGGAGATATAAAGAACTTTTATGACTGAATGTTGAAAAGACAAAAAAAAAAAAAATCCAAAAAATGGGCAAAGGCTCTGAAGAAGCACTTCTGCAAGGAAAGATATTCAAATAGCCAAGAAGCTCATGAAAAATGGCTCCACATCTGTGGTCATCAGGAATATGCAAACTAAAGCCACACGGGCTATCACTTCTTACGATAGCCAGACTCAAAAGACTCCTTATAACAAGTGCTGTCAAGGTTGTGAAGAAATCAGCACTGCTGGGAATGGAAATATGGTGTGGTCAATTCAGGACACAGTGCAGCAGCTCTGAAAATGGCAAAACAGAGTGAGCACGTGAGCCGGCATTTCCTCTCCTAGATGTACAACCCAAAGCTAGAATACACGTCCACACCAGGGCTTGACCTGAATGTTCTCAGCATGGTCATTCCTAATAGCCACAAACTGAAGAGCCCTAAATACTCTGTGAAAAGGCTTGCTTTGTAGCTTTAGCTGAAAGTAAGGTTTACTCATGAGTAAGTGTGGCCCCCTGTGCAGACACACACACACACACGAGTGCACAGCGAGAAAGGCCTGGTTGCAAAGCCAGACTAAAGGGTGTCCTCCGGGGAGGGACCACCGCAGGAAGAAGACTGCACTGGTTCCTGCAGGGAGGTGGGAAAGGTACTTGTTGCTGGGTCCCCTCTTCAAGCATGGCACGGCCTCCGCCTTCACTCCGGAACCCAGTTCAACAAGAGAAGATGAGCCCAGAGAGGTCAAGGGACTCCACAGGCTTAGAAATGCAGTGTGGGCAATTCAATTCCTGAAACTGAGTTGCCAACTTGTTTGCTGCCTGAGAAGTCCCCTGTCGCTCTTAGTGCAGTCCTCTGGATTATAATTTAAAGGGGGGCCGGAAGGAACGACCTCTGAAGGGGCTTTGGCTGCACTAACCCCCTCCTGCCTACCTGGTTTAACGCGGTGGTTATCAAGAGGGCCAGGCTCTGCAGGCTCCATGAGAATTGGGATGTTGGTGGACAGTGTAACAACAGTGTAACAGCAGGGCCCCCGGCAAGTTCCCAAGCCACTGAGCACACTTCAGTTTCCATACCTGTCAAGTGGAGCTAATATGGACACCTTAGCTCCAAGGGCTTTTCTGTCGAGCTAATACATTTGAAACTCTTAGAATAAGGTGTGGCACTGCCTAAGAGTGCAAGTGATGTTAGAGACTTCACACAAGCTGTGCGACTTTGGGCCAGTGCCTCTGCTGCATTGTAACCTGGATGAGACAGACAGACAGACAGCAGAAAGGCTTCTTCGGGAGACTTGATGAAATAACTCTACCTCACCCGGAACAAGTGCTCACCAAACGTGTCCCACCTTCAGTATTACTGCCACCAAAGCACGCTCTGAAACTGTCATGGGGCAAGATGGTCTTTCCTACAGCACAGGCAGGAAGTTTATTAATGGGAATTACCCTGTGCCATTCAGCAGCCTCTTAATGAGATCGGTGTTATTCGAGGCTGATCCCCCTTATCAGCAGCGCTGGGAGCCGCGCAGATCATGACGCTTAATTTCTCTCTATGGAGTCAATCCTTTAATCCCGAATCAGCCTGGCTGGGATTCAGCCTGGCTTTGCACTGGATTGCCGGCGAGGCATTCTCTGCCAGCGCTGGACCAGAACAAAGCAGCCCAAAGCCCTAGAGGAAAACAAGTGGAGATGCTGGAGGAGGCGGGGCCACCAGCAGGCACTGGCTGGATTTGCATTTTAATGGCCTCCACCCAACTGCCTGATGGGCTGGGAAGCTGACTCTTCCCCTAATTACCTTGGGCTCCCAGAAGCTGGCAGGGCAGGTGGAGGATGGGGTATTCCAGAGGTGGAGGAGTGGGGTGGAGGGCTGTCGTGGGTCCAAGAGGAGTGCGGGGGAGTGGTCCTGTTGCCTGCAGCCTTCCCCTGCTGCTGTCACTGGTTGCCCACATGGCTGAGTCTAAATGCCCACAGCCGGCCTTCAAGGCCTTCCCAGGTAAGGGGGGTTGGTGGTAAGGGCAAGCAGGAGGAGGGAAGAGTTGGAACCTTGGGATCGAGGGGGGCAGCGGGAGACTGCAGGTCTGAGGGCGCTTGTTTCAGATTGGGTCACTTTCCTGCCTGAGGCCTCACAGCAGGGAGGTCAGGACTGGAGCTCATCTGTTTGGACTGCCAATCCAGCTCTCTCCTGACTTCAATGAGTCAATCAGAAGTAAATTATAGCCCACACCAGGCCCAAGATCCTAGCCAACAGCAGACACCCAATAAACACATGCTGGATGAACTAATGTGCGAATGAAAGCCTGAAGAGAGGTCACACTAACAGGACAGTACCAGGCCTAAAAGAGACAGCCTAGTCCTCATAATGCTCTGTGGCAGTCAGGCTAGACCTGGATGAGTCTGCAAGAATAACAAGAGTAATGATAACCACCACTAAGGGTGGCAGGCACTCTCCCCTCAGGCTTCCAGTCCCTCCAGAGTCTTACTTTGAGGTTGGAGTGGCAGGGACTGCGAGCTGACACCCTATTCCCCATTCCTGTTCCCTTTATAGAGGCTTGGGGAACTAAGTGTCACCCAAGGTCTAACGTGGGGAAGGAGGTGCGCCTCTCTTCCCCCACCAAGGAGGACTGTGGAGGGAGGATGGAGACACAGACGCAAGGAGCCCGGGCCCCAGACCAACCCAACCAGGCCATGTGCATTGAGCTATGATGTGACTGAGAAACAAACCATATGTCACTCAGAACTGGGGGTCCCTCAGAATTGGGGCTTTATCTGTTACAGCAAACAGTGACTCCCTAATTACAACAGAAACTAGACCAGAAGGAGGTGCTACTGTGACAGAAACCTAACAGGGCGGGTGTCAGTTTGAATGCAGGGGGTCCAGAGTGAGGGTGCAGGTCCTGTGAACTGAGCCGGCAAGATGGCAAAATCGCCCAAGAAAGGTTGTCCAGGGCCTCCCTGGTGGCACAATGGGTTAAGACACAACCTATAAAGCTGTCTGCAGCCTCAGCAGCATGAGCACTCCTCAGAGTGCTCCCTGGCAGGCCAGGGAGCAACCCACATGGTGCAGCAGACCTCTCCTGACTCACCCGCTGCTCCCCTCAGCAGTGTACTTCAGTCAATCTACCTGTTCTGTTCCCCATTCTGTCTCTGGTGAATCCTCTCACCCCCCCACACCTCTGACCTGGACCCCAGCTCTTGTATACATAAATAAATCTTTAAAAAGAAAAAAAAAAAAAAAGAAAGAAAGGTTGTCCAGACAGCAGTGGTTCTCAAGTACAGAAGTGCTGTCCCTGGACTGGCAGAAAAGCAGGGCCAGAGGACTTACCAGAAACGACATTCCTAGGCCCCAACTTACACCCATGGAATTCAGGGTGGAGCCTGGAAATCTGTGCTTTCCCTTCTCCCTGGTGGCTCTGAGGAGTGCTCAAGTTTGAGGACAGTGCTTTGTGGGAAAGAGCATCAGTGGGCAAAGGACTCTGCTCTGAAATGGGCTGAGGCCCGATGCCCTGAGCAGACACCACTCCACCCCCACCTCCTGCCTCTGCATGCCTTCTTCAGCTCCACCCCCTACTCTGATGGTGCTCCCTCAGAGCACGCTGCCTCCCCCCCCCAATACAGACCCCTGCTGCATTCTCATGGCCTGGCGGGTGCTCCCCGAGGGTGGCCGCTGGTGTGAGGATGAGCCTGGGAGGGGCGTGGGAGGGTGGGCGAACCCCTCACCTGCATGCGACTGCATGTGCTCCAGTAGGTTGTTGTAGAACTGGAACTGGATCCCGCAGGCACCGCACGTGTAGGGTTCTGGGGAAGAGACGAAGCAGTTGTATTAGGGGCCAAGCAAGTCCAGGCACTCCAGCTTTGGAAGTGGGAACCAAAACACACACTGGGGTTCCGCCCTCGGGGCTCCAGGCCCAGACTGTCTGTACCCCCATCACTAACTACATTGAGAGAGGCTACAGGAAGGAAGGAGTGGTGGAGAGGAGATGTGCAGATACAGAGGCCATCGAAGCCAATCAGGCAGGTATTTATTGAGTGCTTACTGTATGCCAGGCATGTTCTGGGCATTGGGGACGGGTTGGGGAGAACAGAGAACACCACCAAGGACTACAGCTGTCTGGGGGCAGAGCCGGACCTGGTCCCACAGCCGTCTCTCTGCCATGGAGGCACAGAGGGCCACTGATTGCTGAGTGAACACATGAAGGATGCTCGGAAACAAAGAGGGCAGGCTCAGCGGGACCCCGGAGAAGGGGGTAAAGGTAGAGAAGGCCACAAAGAGCAAGAGGAAACGGGGCTGAGAGGAGGAAAGGAAGCGGAGAGAGGGCAGGAGGGCAGGAGGAAAAGAGAATGTAGGCCGGTGCCCGGTACCCTTGATCCCAGCACCCAAGTCAGGGCCTGGCACAGGGCAGAGGGGAAGGAAGGAAGAAGGGGTGCAAGAAAGAGTGAGTGAGAGAGAGGCAGAGGCTGGCTGAGAGGGGGCTTAGAAGAGGGATCTGAGGCTGCCCCCTGGGTAGGGGTGGGGAGTCTGCTCCCGCCAGGGTTGGGGGTAGCGGAGGCAGGCTTGCCAAGTCAGGGCTCTTCCCCCTTGGGCCCCTGTCCAAACTCCTCCTCACCCCCCTCCCAGGGCTGGAACTTCCTTCTGCCTCCATCACCAGTCTACCTGGGAGGGGGCCCAGGTCAGCCGCTCCTGGAAGAGTAGGCTGAGTTCACTCCCTGCCCTGCCTCGCCCTCTCCAGCCCCCCGGGAGACCATCACTTACTCTGTAGGAGAGGGAAAGGATTGGAAATCAGGGGACTTGCAGTTTCTGCAAAAGAGAAACAGTTTAGCTAAGTCTCTTCCAGCGCTCTGCTCTGAGCTGCCTGTCAGTATTTCTCTTCTTGAAGAGAGAGCCAGAGAGAGCTCTCACGGGGGTGTCTGAGAGCCAGGCTTGTGTTCTGGGGTGGGGATGGGTCCTTGGCAGGGCAAGAGCAGCTGGGGTCACTCTCAATTATAAGAAAGCAGGTCCACAGGCGTTAGTGAGGAAGTACCACGTAGCTGCCCATTTTGGACAGGGAGCTGGCAGATGCTTCCCAGTCCTGGCACCAGGGTGGGGATGTTTGGCACTGAACACAGGGGCAGCCAGAGAGGGCTGCGCTTCGGAGGGCTTCTGCTTACAGGGGTTCCCCGATGCTTCCTTCCCCGATGAGGTGGTGCCAGGTGAGCTTCAGAGGCAAGAGGCAGCCACAGGGGCCTGACAGACTAGTCCAGAAGTCCTGGCTTCCCCACTTACCGCCTGGGACCCGGGGCAACAGCCTCTCCTGAGCCTCATCTAAAGATGGGGCTAACCCTAAGACTAACCCTGTCGGGGCCGTGGGGAGGATGCACACACACAGCTCTGAACACGTGCCAGGCACATAGTAAGCGCTCAATAAATGGTGGCTGCCGGCGCGGGGCAGCACTTTACACGGCCATTCCCAGTTCTGAGAATCAGCTCTGGAGGAAGGAGGGCTCGGGGGTGTGGCCCAGAGGGTGCGGACGCAGCTTCCTGGCAACTGCAGTTCCAGTGCTGGCTCTACCCACTCTCCGTGGCTTCAGGCAAGCCAACTGGTGGAGAGGCAGTGTGGGTTATGTTTCTCAAAAGGGTGAATGAAATAGCTTGGAAAAACTGATATAGTCTCTGTTGTATAAGGCATCATGTCCACATTATCGAGGGCCCCCACAGTACCCCTCACTCCCTTTCTTAGTGTGCTCATCAAATCACCAGGTTTAAACGAAAGAAAGACGACCACCAAAAAGTCCTACCATGTGAGCGTGTGATTCAGGCAGAGAACCCGCTGAATGTTCACGGCCACAGGGTGAGCCTTGGGGAAGACATACCCAAGTAACCAACCCGTAGGGGCAGCTGGGGCTCAAGCCTCAGCTGGAGATTGATTCTGGAGCTCAGGGGACCTTCGAGTCTGTGCTGCTGGATGTTTCACAAAGTCCCTGACTGATGGCGGGCCACATCTATCATATACCTTACACCCTGGCTGTGCCCGGCATGGTGCCAGGTGCAGGCCAACACCTAATTTGGTGAATTTAAACTTCAACCATGCAGGAAAGTAAGTGAGCAACCAAAGTGTCAGAATTCGTTTCCCATCCTGACTGACCCTCATTGTGCGGACTGGCCTGCTGTGCCTTTCTCAGATAGACCACCCATGGTTAGCTGCCAGCTGCTCCCAGGTCTGGGTGGGGAGAGTGGCCTTTGGGGCTCTCAATTTAAGGTGTTCTAGGCTCTGCCAGGGTCCTCACAACACAGCCACCAGGGGGCGCCAAAACACCATCAGGAGCCTCACAGAAACCCTGGTAGTGGCTGAAAGGAGCCTTCAGGTAGTATCAGGTCCCAAGTGGAGCCAGAACTCGGGTCTCTGGCTCTCAGGCCACAGCTTTCTACTGCCTCTCTCTCCCTTTGCCACTCCTGAAAGACTAGTGACATTCCCTCAATGAAACAAAAGTGACTCAGGCCCAACCCTCAGGGGTCATCTGAATAGATATGGAAGGCTTTGGAGAAGGGAGAGGGCCTATCTTCACTGGGGTGTGTGTGTGTGTGTGTGTGTGTGTGTGTGTGTGTGTGTGTGTTTTAGGGACACAGGGGGAGTCCCCAGTTGGGGGGTGTGTGTGTGCTAGGGACACAGGGGGAGCCCCCAGTTGGCCCTGAGGCCCAGAGGAATGTCTTTGAAAGGAAAGGCCCTTCCCAATTCTGCCTGGTCCTGGCCTCCAAATTCTTTGGCCCCAGCTCCCCGCCTCATCACGTTCATGTACGCTATGAAGACCCCAGCCCACAGAACACCTGCTGCCCTGTGGGTAGGAGCAGATGGAGGCAGAGAGAGGCAGCAGGCACGGCACAAGACAGCTGTTGCAGGGCACACTCACCGCTGGAGTTTTGGGAACTGCTATTCGTCTCTTCAAAGTGGTTTTGTGCTTTGCCTTCTACTCTCCGACTGAAAGCGCTTTCTGCTGGGTGGGGACACGAGAGATCAAGGGAAAACGATGGTGACTGGTCAGCACTTGTTCAAGGGGAGGGGCAGGTCAGAGGCAGCTCAGAGGCTGGCATCCACCCAGGGATGGGAAGCGCCAGGGCTCTAAGCTGTGAACTAGCTTAGTGGGGGGCTCCAAATGCCACCTGCTGGGCTCTTCCATCTCAACTGAGTTGCCTAATACAGGACCCCAGATGATCCGCCCTGCGGGTGCCCAGAAAAGGTGGAGGCCAGCCTGGGGTGTGTGTGTGCTGTCTGAGAACAGAGGTAACCTAGCCAAGTAAGCATATGGCAAATGGGCCCAAGTCTTCCCATCTCTGGCCCCTGGGGAGCCACATTTGTGACACTAAGTCATTTGGCCCCTCCCTCCACGACTATTCCCTCTGCCAGATTCTGCTGCCACTGGCCCCACCAAGGAGCAGGCAGGTGAGTTCTCCTGGTGGTGGCTTTGACACAGCAGGCGGGGCAGGTAGCCGGGTCCAGCTCCACATGCCGGGTGCCACTGGGAGGCCAGGAGGGATCCTGGGGGCACAAGTGCAAGACCATGTAGGGACTGGTCAGGGTTCTGGAAACCTTGGCATGCAGAGATGGGGTCTCATGGGTGGAAAACACCTACTCAGTAACCACCCCCACCCCCACGCCGCCGCCCACAGAATGTCATAGTTGGAGACAGCTTGGCTTTCCCAAGAAGTTAGGGGTACAATGGGCTGCTCATGCTCTGGGAAGAAAGGGTTTCTGGGAAGAAGTCAATTAGGGATGAGCAGCCCACCTGCCCTTCTTAAAGGGAAACAAATGACAAGAGGGTATCAAAGGCTGACCACAGAGATCCACTTAGCTTTGTTTACCCAGCCATCCCAGGCATAAATGGTCACTGAAGTTCATTCTTAAAACATCAAATTTCTTAATATCCCTACAGTGGTGATCCCAGGATCCCACTTTGGGAAATGACACCCAGTCTATGCTATGCCAGAAGGAAAAGAGCAAGGCCTGGGGGCATGCGACAGGCAGCCACAGGGTCTGCCCAGTGCCTGGCCCTGCGTCCCAGGGACACTTCCCAGGCCTCCTTTCTGCAGGGGCTGTTGACATCACATACCTGAGAACGCCTGGGCTGAGAGCTATGCGTTTGTCCGTCTCAAGACACCACACTGTGTAAACTGGCAGAGAAAGCCCCTGATTCTTTGTTCAGGGAAGGGGGGATTCTCACTTACTGAGCACCTATTATGTGCACCTAGCATGACCCAGAACTTTACACCCATGCTCTCCCCGAATCCTCCCAATAGCTCTATGACGTCCATGCTGCTATTCCCATTTTACAGGTGAAAAAGCAGAGGAAAGTGACACTGTCAAGTCTCTGGCTTCTCCATCTTAATCCTGTGTGTGCTGGGGGTGGCTAGCTATCTGTGGAGGAATTTTCTGCAGGCCAAGCAACATATTGGAAGAACCCAGTCCAATGAGGTTGCAAACTCTTAACATTAGTGCCCTGTTGCCCAGCTGACAATGCCAAGTTTGACAACTGCCTATCCCTGGCATGGGCAGCTCTGGTTGAAAAGCATCAGGCGGGACCACAGGTACACCTGCAGACATGCCTGTTCTAGAGTGACAAGGGTGCTGACAGCTTCCAGCTCTAACATACAGGCTCCTGCTCATGACCTTGTCTTCTGCTCTGCCCAGCTAATAAAGGCAAGTGTGAACCCCACAAAGCAGTCAGGTCACACAGAGGCAGCCAGAGGCACACCCCAGATCTCTCTGGGAGCTTACTCAGCCACACCAACACAGCCCACAGGCAGAAACTATACCTGTACAAACCGTCAGCCACAAGATCGAGGGTAGAAGCTGAGGCAGAATCCACCAGCGATGAGCTAGGATGACCAGTCTGTTTCTAACTTACGACTACTTTTGTGAAAACACAAAAGCTACTGACTTTTCTTAATACAGTACCTTAAAAACTATCACTTTCAGGGTTGATCAACTACTTTCCTTTTGGGAAATCTAATGGGGCCTCTATAGGCCAATGGAAGGCCCAGGGTCCCAAACACAACAGTTTCCTACCCTACAACCTACAGACCCAGGCAGGCAGCCCAAGGTTCATTCCATTCAGGTCTGAATTAGGATTCCTCATAGCTGGTAGTCAGCGTAGTCCGTCTTAGCAGCTTTCCTGGGGGAAATGCTATGACCCTTTCATGTCTTCTCGAACCAGAGGCATTTCCCTCACAGATGCAGCAAACACCAGCCCGACAGCCACTGCTTCCCCAGGCCATGGTTCATGGAGGGGGAGGGGGAGAGAACAGAACTCCCAGCCAAGCTCTCTGCTTCGTGGAGAGCAGCTCTTCGCAGAAATGTGCTTTCAGATTGGGTTTTCTGAAAGATGCAAATTCATGCCAAGCGGGTCCAGCAGGTGGTATAAATGGATGAACTGGGCTGAATGTAAGACGGACAACAGTGTGATCACAATGAGAAATGACACCTGCCACGTGGCCACTGTGCTGGGGAGGTGGGAGGGAGTGGTGGGGTCTGTGGAAAATTGGAATGCACTTGCTCTATTAAAGGAAGCAGCTGTGACCCAGCCCCAAGCCAACTGCTGTCCTGCCAGATGGCCAGAAAGTGGGCCCAGGACCACCAGATTGACTTTTCCAAGTCAGCTAGAAAGCAAAAGTTTTGCATAAAATCTCCCAGCATTCAAATGTTAGCAATTGGGAAAAAAAAGTTTTAACCCCTTGGGCCATGACTTGGGGAAAAAATACTTTCCTGTTTAAAAAAGACAGTTTGCAAACCATCTTGCACAACCCTCTGATTTAGGGTAAGAAAACCTTGGCTCAGAGGGGGTAGGTGGCTGGCCCCAGTCACAGTCAGTCAGAGGCAGAGCTGAGACTCTTCACCCACGTCCACTGTCGCTCTTGCAAGGGAACAATGACCCCGGGCACAGCTGTGGCAGGTGGGAGAAGGGTGGGGAGTGGAGGAGGGGTGGGATACATAGGCCATTGGTACCTGCGGTTGCCTTGCTTGCTGGAGATCCCGAATTTGGAGTGCGGAACGTCTGGGTTTGGGTGGCTGGAGGGGTGCGGTGTAAGAGGGTGGCACATCGGACCACGGAGGCCGGAGCTTTTTTCCCCGACTGGTTCGTCTGGGTCTTCGTTGCCACGAAGCGTGGAGACGGGGAGACCTCTGGATGTGAACACTCAGAGCCCGTGTCTGGATCATCCGGTGGCTCCCACCCGGGGGCGGTACCTGAGAGGGTCACGCTCTCAGTCCCTGAGGGCCCCTGGAGCTTTCTCAGAGAGGGGCCTCTCCGGCCACAGACTCGTGGGGCGAAACCTCCTATGGGCCCACGGAGAGCCAAGGCTTTTGCCCCCAACCTGACTCAAGAAAGTGGGAGTGTAGAATGATCCCTACTTCTCCTCAAGTTAACTGAAGGCCACTGACCAGCCCACTGAGTGGGTCACCCGTAAGCCTAGAACAGCCCAGGTTCTGAGTGTCAAAGAGCCCAGCCTGTGACTTACACTTAGGACACCTGTACTAGTTAACCCAGGCCCAAGTGCGTTTTCTAGAACATTTGGAAGGAAAGTGGGCTTAGAAGTAAGGGCAGGAAGCAGAGAGGCAGAGACACACCAGGGTTGCCTGGTCTGGTAGTGAGAAGCGGAGGAACCCCATGCCACCAGAGGTCTTAGGGGGAGGGGCTGTGAGTGATCCCTGGGTGTGACTGGGAACTGCTGCTCTCAGTGGACTCAGCCCCAAGATGACACTTTCCCTGGACTATGTGCAGCAGTACTGGCTGGCATGTGGGGAAGATCACATCCACCTTCCCCAGACTCCTGCCTCCCTCACCTGAATTCCTCCTGCCTCCCTCACCTGAATTCTCTGCAGAAGTGGGAGTCCCTGAGACCCCAAGCTGACACTCAAGTGGTCTCTACCCCTGGTGGTCTTGGGCAGGCAGTAATGGGTGTCTCTCACTGCCCAGGGCCAGAATAACCTGGATGGCAAACCCCTGAACCTGGCCACACTGCCATTCAAAACAAGGGGGGAGGAGGCAGTGATCTTATCGTTTTCACTTGAAAGCCGGGGGTGGGGGGGAGTTCAGCAACAAGTGAAGGGATCCCCTTTGGTGGACTCACAGAATCCACAGGACTCAGTAATGTTCCGAGGGAACCATCTTGACCAGAGCCTGACTAAGCATCACAGCACCGTGCAATGCTCCCTTGCTTCTGGGGAAGGAGGAGCAGCCCCTACTCCCAGGACAGTGTCCACCTGATCATACAACATCCTGCCCGTGGCTTTCAGAGCCAAGAAATTAAAAGGCGCTCTCTGGGCCTCCACCTCTGCCACCCCTGGCACAGATGAGGAGCTGCCCCATGCAGCCGAACTTGCTCTGCTGGGCTTTGCTCCCAGCTGGCCTTTTAGGGGGAGGGAGTCACCCACCTTCACACACAGGTGCCAGAGGCCAGGAGCTGCAGTGATGGTCCCCTAAGCGAACCTTTGCCCATCGCCCCAGCCCCAGAGGGAATCCCCGAGGCCTTGGTCTGTAGAGAATACAGGTGACCCTCACTACCTCCAGGCCCGCTCTCCAGAGTCTCACTTTCTATCCAGGGACTAGAGAGATCCTGGTGGGGAAGGAGCATCGCTATGTTCCCTTGGTCTCTTGACCCCCTCTCCCAGACCCTCTCAAGGACCTTAGAGACCCCCACATCCAATCAGCAGGTGGCTCATCTCACAATTTCTTTTCTTTTTTTCAGTCTCAGAATAGATGTACACGTCAGAGGTAGGCGCCCAGATTCCATGTCTGCTTTCCCTCTGACGCTCAGGTTGGGACGGTGGCTGGTGCTTCACTGTACCAGCAGCAGCATTAAGTATGGAGTGAGGCCCACACACCTCTGCACCCAGGGTCTGTGACCTTTGTGCCCCATGGCCTTGGACTCTTCCCCTCTCTTGCCTTTCATCTCCCAATTCATCTCCACTGATCAAAATGGGGTGCAACCATCTCTGTGCTACCAACCTCACAAGCATTTTGTGAGGATCCAGAAGCACCTTAAATGGTAAACTATTCTTCAAATGTGAGCAGCCATTACTGGCAGTTTTGAGGGATAAGGAAGCCAAGGCCCAGATAGTTAACACAATTCTGGCCACACAGAGTTAGTGCCAGGATGTTGCAGAGCTCAGCCTGCTGGTGGGTCAAGCTCATGGGGTGTCCTACTGCACTGGCCCGCACATACTGGGGACCTGGGCACACGCGCCACAGAATTTCTGAAAAACTGAGCACATCACTTTCCCTCCTAGGCTTTAGTCTCTATCTTGCAGAATGATTTCTAGGAAAGCCTCTGGATCAGACAGACCCTTCCATGATCTACAATTCCTGCTGCCGAGATCCTGGCATTCCATGTGTGAGCGTCCCCTCCTTCCCTGTCGCAGGGTGCTCAGGGATACCATGAAGCACACGAATGACTAAGCTCCAGGGATCACCTGTTAGCTCCAACCACTCAGCCCAGGACCTCTGACATTCTACAGTATCTCAAGTTGCATGGCCACTGCATCTGCTATTCCTTCTGCCTTAACTGTTCTTTCCTTCCATTTTTGTCTGGGTAACCACTGCTGGTCCTACATATCTCCCCTTAAGCTCACTTCCTCTGGTAGCCTCCCTGATACCCCACCAGGTCATTTATACTTCGGTCCCTTTTCTTGCCAAGAATTGGTCAACACTGATAATGATGCCTGATATGAACTTTAGGTCGATGTCTCTTTCCCTATTGGCCTATATGCTGCATGAGGGCAAGACTGCCAGTCTGAACAACCACGCACTCAGTGCCTGGCTTATTCCCTGGCACACAGTAAATATTCCATAGATATCATAATATCAGGAAATCAAAGCATGAATGGCCAGGGAAGTGAAACTCATACCCACTTAAGCAGAGCACAGAGATGGAATGTCCAAGGGAAGACATCAGAAGCCACTTCACATATTACCCTCCCTTGGGTCTCCAGGGTCTAAGGCAGATGGGGACACACAAGTGTGGAGAGGTACAGGCACCACTCCAGGAATAGAAAGCAGGTTGGGTTGATCCTGGATGAACTTCCTGAGCTCCTAATTCATTTCCCTCAACAGTTGTTTCATTTGTTGACCTCATGTAGAATGTTTTCAGGCTGGAATCTCTACCTGGGCTTTCACCAAAAGGGGAAGATTTTCAGATAGCCTGGCGGATTGTCCTTGTAAGAAACCCATTTGACACTAAACAAAAAAGATTATATATGAGAGCTCTGTGATTTCCCCTTTCTGTAAAACTGAGAATTTGCCTGGATTCACAAAATACAGGATTCAAATTCTCAAATATAAGGATTGGACATAAGCAAGCATGAAGCTGAGAAGATGGAGAGACCAGGGGTCTTCCTAAAAACTTATTAGGTGGTAGGGTGGGGGGTTATGCATTCAAGGTAAATGGGAATAGACTGTTTAAAGACTGAAGTGAGAACAAATGGGAGACGTGATGCGAGATAAGTCCAATATGGGAAACCTTGTAGATTTGAATCTTAGAGAGAGAGCTGGAGACCTTACTCTCTGGCCATGACGGAGTAATTGGTGTAGGACCAGTCCTCCCCCATATTCAACTGTAAAGCTGGGGATAATACATGAAACAAATTTTCAGACCTTGAACAGTAGGTGGATCAGGACTGGGTCCGTGAAGGAAGACCTGCCGTGAGCCCCTGGTCACTTCAGCTCTCTGCCTGGAGATACCTCTGGGCCACGGTACAGACGTGGAGCCCAAAGGAAACACTGTAATCCTGTTGAACTGAGGAGACATTATCAGAGTTCAGGGCTTCTGTGGTGGCTGGAATTTGCAGGGTAGAATAACAAAGAAGAGGGAATCATATAATAAAAGAACTCTAGGAATGTACAGATGGGCCTCTTAAAGTCTTTGGCTGGATGCCAAACTGATTTGTGCAGAAGGAGCCTCTACAAAGCCCTACAGCAAACAGCTACTGGGGGGCCATGATGATGAATGAGAATTCAGAGGTCACACAAGGTGAGGTGTCTGAGCTCTCACTTGCCAAAGAGGAGAGACCTTGCTGAATACCTTGAGCACTCAGATGAGACCCAGAAAGGCCATGCCTTAGAAGGATGCTTTAACCCTAGAAATAAGGACTATTCTAGACCTGTCCCAACACAGCTCAAAAAATCAGTCTTTAAAATATCAAGCTGATCTCTAAGTAAAATAACTGACTACCAGAGAAAAGTTTATCATGTTTCAAAGGAAGACAACAAAATCTAGACACTCAATAACACAGCATCCACAATGTGCAGTATGGAACAAGAAGTATTACCAGGGAAAACAGAAAAATGAGACTAATAATCCAGAGAAGAAAAAACTGTCACTGGAACCACACATCATGGCATGAGGAATTAGCAGATAAGGACCTTGAAATAGCTACTGTAAATATGCACAAAGGTTTAAAGGATAATATAATGAGAACATGATATAAAAAGGAACAAGATGGAACTTATACAGATAAAAAAATATGATAGCTGACATAAAAAAATGACCTGATGGATTTTCTAATAAATCAGATTAGAGACTATGGGAGATGATATTGGTGACTTTGAAGGCAGAACTAGAAAAGCATCAAATTGAAGCACAAAGGGAAAACAAGGCTGAAAAACTGAATAGAACTTCAGTTGATATGTTCATCAAACAGTATAAAAATATATATAATTAAAGTCACAATGGGAGAAGAGAGAGAGACAGGGGAAGAAAAATATTTGAAGAAGTACTGGGTTGAAAGTTTCCCAAGGGTGATGAAAAATATAAACTCACATATCCAAGAAGATCAGCGAACCCCAAATGAAATAAACACAGAAAACCATACAGTATAATGAAATTGCTGAAAACCAACAGTATAAAAGTATACAGAGGAAAGAGACATTAAATGTAGAATACCAATCAGAATTATCTGATTTCACATCAGAAAAAACATAAGCCAAAATACAAAAGAATGACATTTTTATAATGCCGAAAGAAAAAATTCTCAGCCTAGAATTTCCTATCCAGAGAAAATATCCTTCAAAACACAGAAACATTTTCAGTTAAGAGAATATTTAACCTACAGACCTACATATAAGAAATGTTAAAGGAAATTCCTCAGGTAATAAAGGAAATGATAAGTGATAAAATTTAAATTTATTTAAGAAAAGGAAATTGTTTAAAGAAAAAAGAATAATTGTTGGGCTCATAATATGTAGGCAT